AAATGTGAAATAAGCTGGTTGAACAACACATGCATGGGGCAGTGATCTATAATAATTGTTGACCATTAATCAGGGCGGCTCAACGGAACTGGTGGCTTAAAACTAAAGTATATTAAAAGACCCTAAAATTTCTTTCATAAAATTCATATAATATTGAGACAAAATAATCTACATGGTTTTGATCTAGTGGTGACTGATTAACATATAATGTGTGGGTTAGGCGCACGTCATATGGTATTGAACTCTACCCTATATAAAAATATAGCATTAAGTGAAAATGGTAAAATGATTGAGCCTATTATCCATTGTGTTTTGAACCTTACAACACTTGTCTCGGGAATTTTTTAGTTTAAAAAAATAAGACACAAACAAAATTGCTTTTTGATGTGTGGATCAATCAAATGTGATAAAAAGAATAGCTAATTTAGAGAATCTGAGTTGAAATTAGAAAGTAAAATAGTAAAAAATGTGAAAAGGGAAAGAAAGAAAAATAGAACTGATGAAAAAATAAATATATTATTTAATTTAGTGATAGAATAGTTTTATCCTATTAACTCATTCAATCTTATCTCTACCAAATTTTAAAAAAAAATATTAAAATTTAAAATATTTTATCAATAATTTTATAAATATAAATTACATACTATATAATGATATAGTAAATATATGGATTCCAACTAATAAAACCATAAATAGAGGGTGTTTGGATTGACTTTTAAATTGGTCAAATCACGTTTTAGGCTCTTTTTAATTTTTTTTTACTATTTGACAAAGTTAAAAGTGCTTAAAATAAGTTAAAAACTGCTTAAAACAAGCCAAAAACCATAAGTTGGGGTTGCAATAAGCTGGGCAACCCTAACTTATTGTTTTTTTGCTTAAAAGCTATTTCTCCTAAAAAGCCACTTCTTTTAAACCAATCCAAATGGGCTCTAGTCCTTAAAGCGTGAGTATGAAAATAATACTAGTAGTCTTTAACATGATTATGATGGTTTATTTACTAAAAAAACATAAATATATAATACGTATATATACTTACGTCTTGTATGCGTCTTTTGGAACTTTATGGAGTATATGACATTGGACATAAAGAGTCCTTTATCCTTGGAAATCAAGCACACAGCCAAAACTAAACGACCGGTTGTGCAAAATCCTTGCTCCGCACGGCTTCTTAGCAGTTAACAAATTGCATTAATCAACGTCGAAGCAATCTTTCTCTCTCGAACCAAACTCTCTCTGCCTTCTCTCTATAATTTCAACCAATCCACCTGGACCACTAGAGGTCCCACAACTACCTCCACCAGCCCCACCCGATCCACCAACCCAAAATAGCAATCACCAATCGACACCTCACAATCAGAATTTACCAACATCAACTGCCACCCACTCGATGACTAACCATACCCAAATTACTACCCCCAAAGACCACCGTCCAAACTAAACCCACTTTGCAATCAACATCTTCCCAACAAAAAACACATACTTCACATCCATCCCTTGAAGATGTGATTCATTTGGATGGCACAAGCACTCAAACACTATCAAACCCCCGATATGAAAACCCTATTATCCAACACAAACAAGTAATACCCAATACCCAGAAGAGTAATTTTCTCCCACCACCACTGAAGGTTTCTTCTAATTTTGACCCTCACCTCGTCACAACCGAACCAATAATAGTATCCAAAATCCCCAATCCAATATTCAACAGAATGCAAATCGGAACACGGAAAATAACAGTCCTTCCTCTAACTCGAATAATAATTCCAAAAATCAACCTCGACCACCCATTCCAGTGTCCAAGCCGTCCTTTGCAGCTACTGTCTCCACTTCTCTCGCAAATAGATCAAGTGCTAAGCAGCATGTTGAAATTACTCATGGTACTCATATAGGCAAACCCGCGGTCTAATTCTCTGCATAAGACTTTTTTGTTACTCTGGCTGAAGATTGCAGGTTCACAATTGTTGGAAAGTTTACTAGAGGCAAACCTAACATGGAGGAAGTAAGGAGGTTATTCATCAGTCTTATTCCGCTTAAAGGTACTGTCAAAATAGCCTTTTATGATACAAATCATGTTTATATTGACTTGTCTAATGAAACAAATTTTTATCATATCTACTTTAAATCGTTCATCACTCTTGGTCCATATATAATGAAGATTATTAGACGGACCCCCGACTTTGCCCCCGAATGTGAGACTACAATTGCTCCAGTATGGATTCTCATTCATCAACTCCCCTGGCATTTTTTTAGGTGGGACATTTTATCAAGAATGGTTAGTTCAGTTGGTACTCCTATGGCTCCTAACATGGCCACCTACTCTAAATCTAGAGGTAATGTGGCCAAGATTAAAGTTGAAATTGATCTCTTAAAACCTAGTAAGGATCAAATCCGGCTGGGGTTTAAGAGGTTAGATAGTAATGAGGAGGATGGTTATTGGCTTGATATTGAATATGAAGGTGCTCCCTCATACTGTCAATATTGTTGTATGCAAGGACGTGATATACTCTCCTGTAGAAATAAGAAAAGAGATGAAGAAATACAAGCCCAAGTCACAGCCAATAATGAGGAGAATACTGATCAATGGAAAGTTCAAAAAGGAAACAAGAAAGGTAACCAACACACGAATGGGAGTAATAACCTGAATGTGTTACCACAACAATCTCACCAGGAAGTCATAGATACACGAAACAACACCCAATCACAAAAGGATGACCAACCAGCTCAACAACCGAGAGATCATGGTACACAAAACAATCAGCAATAGGTTCTGAACGAGAACAAATCAATTGAGCAGGCAGCACAACCTCAACAGGTACCAAAGCAAAAGATTGGAGCTAAGAAAAAAGTGCAATGGTAAGTTAACCGGAGCAAGCAAATCACCAATACCATACACCACAATAACTCAAAATAACCAACTACTCAAACAACAGATTTCAACCAAGTTAGAACCAAATCAAAACCAAACACACATCAAAGAATAAATCCCCATCCTCAAGCTACTTATCAACGTTCCACTAGTAAAACCTCTCAGATTGTTCCCGATAACATATCCAAGCCAAAACCCCCAAATTATCACTGACATCCCTTCTATCTCAATAGTCCCAAAACAACAACATTTATCAGCTACAGAACCTAAAGTGCCAAAACCGGCATAAATTATCCCTTCCCAGCAAATAAGCTCTCAAGTAATTCAGTCAGCTAAGGCTTATGCAAACGCCACCCCTCAAGAGCCACCAGACCCTCCCCCTCTTGAAAACCCCCCACCTGAACACAACTTAAATAATCATAAGCCATCTAGGAATGCTCTTTCATATAGCAGTGATGAATCAGACTAGGGTATGCTAAATGATGTTGACTCTGAATTTGAAGCTTTAGGGGAAGAATTAGAAACTACAGAATATAGTCAGGTTTTTAATGACTCTGAAGATGACTTTAAAATGAACACCAGTCTGATAGTGATGATGCTCAATCAGTTACCATTGATGATCATGCTAACAAATTGTTAGAAATTTTCTCACATCATTCACCACCACCACAAGAAGTTGATCAAGCCTTTGAGGAAGTGATTGGCCAACATCACCTTTCACCCCGGGGACATGAAATAATCAAAGGTAGGTTCTCATCAACAAGATCTGGACTCTCAAGCAGAGGTGGCAGAGCAAACAAAAGAGGTAAAGGTATTCCTGCTGTGAAATTTTCACAGGACAAAGATGATCAATCCACATCCTTTTAATGATTAAGTCTCTTATTTGGAATATTAGAGGCATCACTTCTTAAGGTACCTTTGACAGACTTAAGCAACTTAAAAGAACTCACAACGTCGTATTCATAACTATTATGGAACCTTTCAGTGGTAGAACTAAATTGGAGAAGTTCAAGAGAAAACTTGGGTTTGATTTTGCATATGCAAACTGTAGCAACAAGATCTGTTTTTTTGGCAATAATTCTATTAATTGTACTGTGATTGAAGATTTCCCTCAACTTATCAATTGTTCAATTGATAACAATGGGGAGACTTTATTTATGACTTTGGTGTATGCTAACTGCAAAGCTCATCTCAGTGAGACATTGTGGGATAGTATCAAAATAGTTTTTGAGGGAATTAGCTCTCCATGGATGGTGGCCGGGGATTTTAACTCTATCACTGATCCCCAGGAAAAAAAAGGAGGGAATGATCACAACATGTCCAAAAGCTTACCCTTCATCAATTGTATTATTGGCAGTGAGTTAATGGATATCGGCTACTCTGGCAATCCCTTTACTTGGTGTAATGGATGGGCTCCTGGTAGGAGGATATGGGCAAGATTAGATAGGGTACTTGTTAATTCTGAATGGTTGCAGAGATTTGCAGACACTTCTGTCACTCATTTGGTTAGAATTGGTTCTGACCATGATTCCCTACTGATCTTCACATATAATCCTCGATGGGAACCTAAGAAGTATTTTAAATTTCTAGACTTCTGGACTGAATAAGAGGGCTTCATGCAAGTCGTGGAACAAGCATGGCAATTGCAGGTACAAGGTGGTCATATGTGGAGATTTCACCTAAAACTTAAAAATATTTGTAAGTGTCTTTCCTTCTGGTCTAAAAACTCTATTGGCAATATATTTGATAAGACCAAAGAATTGCATAACATGCTTGAGACTCTAGAGGAGAGATGCTTGAATGACAACTCAGAAAGCAATAGAATGGAGTACAACAATGTGAATGCTCAATTGATTAGGCATATTAAAAATGAAGAATCTTTCTGGAGACAAAAAGTTGGCTTGAAGTGGTTTACTGATGGAGATAATAACACAAGGTTCTTTCACTCTGTAATCATTTCTAAGAGGAAAAAATTGCAACTGACAAGAGTTAAGAAGTAGGATGGCACATGGCTTGAGAACAGTGATGATACTGCTGCTGAAGCTGTCACCTTTTTGAGAGACAATTCACACAAGAAATTACTTGCAGAGATTTTTCAATCCTAAGGGGGCTTCCAACATTGGTCAANTGACTTCTTCTCTGGAACTGAACTTCCTAGGTCCTTCACTCATACATGCCTTGTCCTTATTCCTAAAATTGATAGTCCTCAGCAATTCACTGATTTGAGACATGGGTTTTTTAAATCATCCAGAGGTTTGAAGCAGGGGGTCCACTATCTCCCTCTCTTTTTGTCATTGGTGCTGAATTACTATCCTACATGATGGATCAATTGATACATGATAACTTCATCCCTTTCTCTATGGATAATGAAAGCCCCTTAATCACTCATCTTACATATGCTGATGACACCATCCTCTTCTCCTCTGATGACTTGCTTTCCATTGCCATGATGATAAACAAGTTGGAGAAATATGAACAAATCTCAGGCCAAATGGTGAATAAAAGGAAATCTGCTTTCATGGTATCTTCTAATACTCCACTCCTTGTAATTGAGGACATCAAAGCTATCACTAGTTTTTCCCATTCCCACTTCCCTTTTACTTATTTGGGGTGTCCAAAAAAAAATGCTATTTTGAAAATATGGTGGCTAAAATAACAAACAGAACTCAGGGATGGAAAGGGAAGATTCTTTCCATTGGGGTTAGAGCAGTCCTTATTAGGTCTCTATTGCATTCTCTCTCTTTACATATCATATATGTTGTGTATCCACCAAAAAGTACCCTTGATTATATTAAAAAATCTCTTGCTAGTTTTTTTTTTGGGGAACATCAGAGTGCAAGAGGATCTATCATTGGTTTTCTGGAAAAATTTATGTTATCCTAAGGTGGAGGGAGGGGTAGGTTTTAGGTCATCGCATGAAATCTACATTTCGTTTGCTGCTAAATCATGGTGGAACTTCAGGACTCAAAAATCTCTTCTCACCCTCTTCTTGGAAGCTAAATATTGCAAAAGATATCATCCAGTTGCTAGAAAAAAAAGCTATTCTCAGTCACACATTTGGAGACGGCTAATGGACATCAAGGAGGATTGTGAAGATCATATTTTGTGAAAAGTAGAGAAAGGTAACCTCTCATTTTGGTGGGATAACTGAACTAACAAAGGTGCTCTTGCTAAGCTAATCCAACATGAAAACAAGTCCAAAAAGACAAAAATGGCTGATTTTATCTCTCACTACCAATGGATGCTGGATAAACTTCATGATACCCTCCCCTCTCATCTGGTATCTCATATTCAGTCCATTAAGATTTCACCAGAAGAGAATGATCGGCATATCTGGCTTGCTAATCCTTCTGGATCTTTCACTAGTAAATCAGCTTGGGAAACATTTAAAAAATCAAGAGGTACTTCCCTTACTCTTTCTAAGATATGGCACTGTAAACTACCATTCAAAGTCTCCTTCCATGTACTAAGATTACTTAATGGTAAACTTGCTACTGATGATTCTCTTACCAGATTTAATGTACATGGGCCATCAAGATGTTATTGTTGCGCCATTTGCAACATTGAAACTACTAATCATTTATTCTATGAGGGGAATATTGCTATCAAAGTTTGGAAATACTTTGAAGATGCGTGTGGTTTGTCTACTTGTTCTACTCGAGGCATCAGGGATAAATTCATCAAATGGTGGCTCATCAAACAGAAAAAAGTACATGAAATGATATTGCAATACCTCCCTTCTGTTATCTGTTGGGAAATCTGAAAATATAGATGTACTTATAAATATGAAGGTATTAGAGGCTTTATTGCCCGAGTCATTCATCAGATTACCACCATGATGCAGTTGCTGCTTTCTACTCAATTTCCCTCTCTATCTTTGTATCTCTATTCCCAAAGATATCGCATATGGTAGATAGAATCAAGCCCCAATTAAATATTATACCTGTGAGCTGAAAAAAACCTGCAATAGGGGATCTCAAATTAAATGTCAATGGGTGTAGCAAAGGGAACCCTGGTAACGCACGAGGTGGAGGGATCCTGAGGAATCATCTTGGTCATATGATTATGGCATTCACTGTGTATCTTGGTTGTTGTTCGAACAACTCTGCTCAAGCTCAAGCAATCAAAACTGGTTTGAGATGGTGTTTAGATCATGGTTTCAACATGGTAACAATAGAGTCAGACTCTTTCCTTATGATTCAGATAATTAAAGGAAATATCACCACTTCTTGGCATATCAAGGATGAAATATCAGAGATTCAAGCTATGAACCTAGTTGGACATTTTCAATTTGTTCACACTTTCAGAGCCCACTTGGCCAGGTTTACTATCTTCACTTCTCTCAGTCTGATTTTATATAATGTTGTTAGACTGATCGCAAACTAAAAAAAAAAAATTGTTATATACTGCAATTAGTCCGATCGAAGCAGAGATAGATCCAGAATTTGAAGGCTCCGGTTGCCAAGCTAATCGATTTGATCAACTTTGAAAAAAACAAATAGTACTAACTATTTGTCTTTTGGGATTCTAATGGGAGCGAGGATTTTGAAAAGGAAATGTTGTTTTAAGTGTGGGTGAAAAAAACAAATAGTACTAGCTAAGAGACCAAAAAAAAGTCAAGATTTACTAACAAAGAAATATATAGTCAACAATAATTAAAGAAAGAAAATAAGGAGAACCGAATATAATTGAAGAAAGAAAAATAAGTGAACAATAACATCAAAATTTACCGAGAATACGTGATGATGCAGCAAGCTAAAAAGGTTTTAAAAAGTTTTGTCTCAGTGGTTCGATCCCTTACTGCAAAGGAGGATTTATCAGCCATTTACCACAAGCATCTTAAAATCTTTTGTTACTCCAGGTTGCACTCGGAATATTTATAAGATTTCGCAAATATGCATACATATATAGTTAAGATTTCGAACAAAGCTTGCGGGTGGCGTACCACCCCGCGGGCCTTAGTAGATCCGCCCCTGGATCGAAGGTAAGTGTGGTTTTAAACAAAGAAAATTTGTTCAAAAAAAATAACGCTCCACTAAATAAAATAAAAAAGCAGTAGCTATCTTTTCCTAATCTAATCCTTGCTTCAGTAAATGATTTATAAATTTAGCAGAGAGATAAATGGTAATTTGAAGAGATATAAAGGGAGTATCAAAAATACCTTCAAAACTTATAATCATAAATATGTCATGACATTTCGGTGACTATATATGCATGTAAATAAAGGTAAAACAATAAATTTAAAGTTAATAATTGCATAAATTTTTGAATAAACAACAACAACAACCCAGTATAATCCCACTAGTGGGGTCTGGGGAGGTTAGTGTGTACGCAGACCTTACCCCTACCCTGGGGTAGAGAAACTGTTTCCAAATGACCCTCGGCATCCTTCCCTCCAAGAACTCTCCACCTTGCTCTTGGGGTGACTCGAACTCACAACCTCTTACCATCAAAGAGTGTCATATACCTGCTTCAAAGGACTTCAAAAATAGCGAAAAAGAAATATAAGTATTCTGTGTGTTTACCATTGAGGTATCCTTCCATCCTTAGATTGCTAGTACTATTGTTTGATTGCTATCTTTGCTTCACTTTAATATCTTATTGTCGTTGTTAGTATTTGTTGCCAAGTATTTGTTGCCACTACTTCTTTTCTTTTATTTTTAGATTCTATCGTAAATATCCTCTTTACCTTCCTGATAGGGGTAAGGCTGTGTACACTCTACCCTCCCTAGACCCCACTTGTTAGAGTTTATTAGATTGTTGTTGTTGTTTGTGTTTACAGTCGACGGACTTTAATATCTGTTAAAGTTCTAATATAAATGCATAGCTCTAGTATGCTGATATTAATTAATAAAATGAAACATTGCAGGTGATAAGAGCATTAGGAATGGGGAAGGTAATTCAATCTAACGACATCAAGTTTTCAGAGGGAGATATAGTACTTAGCCGTATTTGCCCTGTTTCAGAATTTGGTGTTATGCCCTCAAATTTGATTCAGAAGATTACTGCTGCAATTGGGATTGCGTTGCCTGATTATCTTAGTTGCTTAGGTATATACCTAATACCTCTCCTTCACCAATTTTAATTATCGTTTTTACAGTCATGAACTTAAAGCAAAAATCAAGTAATTTCTTTTATTTCTGTGTAATAGGAATGCCTGGTATAACTGCGTGGGTGGGCATAGAAAAGATTGGAAATGATAACATTCCCTTTAAGAAAAAATAATTGAAATATGTATTTTATAATCCCATAATAATGATAACATTTCAAAAAAAAATTAGGAAATGATATGGAGAGTAAGTAGTTAATTATAAGAGTAAAACAAGGGAAAAAAAAAGATTGTCCTTCTCTTGATTTGCGAAAATAGATTAAGTGAAGGTGAAAATATATTTTTCATAAGAGTAAGTCTTTTCAACTGGAGATAAATTAAATTATGCTTGTAATCTGGATATATGTTTCCTCTTCTTTTCTCTTGGTAGGTGAAGCTGTTGAAAGAAGAATGTGGCTACGACGATGCTT